ATTTAACGTTGTTCGTCCGTTTGTTCCTTATGTAGGGATGTAGGAATTTCGTATTAATGTAAACGTATGCTTGTAGAAATTGTAGGGATGTAGGTATTAATGTGAACGTTGGTCGTCCGTTTGTTCCTCCGTTGTGCTCGCGTCCGCGTCGAGGGTTAAATCGTGGAGGTCAGCGTGACGGTAACCAAGCGCCCCGGTTGGTCGGCCTTAGCCTCGGGCCGGCTGACGGGGGGCGTTTCCACCTCGAGCCCGGTACATAAGCACAGCGAGAGGAGGAGTCGGGGCTCAGTGTTGGCCTGCCGAAGTGCTGTGCTGCGCTGTGCCCGACTACTCTTCTGCTGCTGGCTCTCCTGGCTCGAGGTAGGTTCCCGTCACGCAGGGATTGTCGCGGGCTCACGGACATCCCTTAGTTAGGATAGGAGCACCTGGGTGGAGGATTAGGTAGTTTCGCGCGTCATTTGTCGTTAGGGTATTGGTAGGGTAGTACGCGGAAATTATATTGTCATCTCTCTAGCAGTCCTTTATTATGTTCGGTATTTACAATAAATGGGGTTCGAATTGACCAGATGCTTTTGGAGACGGGTTGAGTCGGAGGAGAACGGAGTTTGAGCGGAGTCAGATTCACTCGGTACCTTAGTTAGTCATCAAGGCTCAGGAGCTTAGCTCCAAACCCACGAAGGGCGCGCTAAAAACCGCGTGTGCTCCAAAATGGCGGAGTTATTCACCTGAACCACGATGCATAGTTTAGTTCAATTAGATTAGAGGACAGTGGCCCGTGTGGCAGACGGGGTAAAGGCTGGTGACGTCCCGGCCTAACACTGCTCCTGTAGAGTAACGTAGAGAACCGGAGGGGAGGTAACGAAGGGCCTACAGGACCGGCCTAAGCCCCCCTCACATAATGGTGCTAATCGGCCGGGAACGTTCTTTCAAGTGAAATTCGGCTGAACAACGTTTTTCTCCCGGTAGGTGTCAGGCACGCCATTAGGTACGTAAGCCTTAACCTGCATTATCTAGTGAAACGCCCTGCCCGTAAAGTCGCCGGAATCGCTTGTTAGTACGTGGTTTTGTAAATCTTAAACTGTTTAAACAAACGGCTAACAGTAAGTCTAAAAAAACGTTTTTCATTCTTGCTGGTATGAGGATACGCCGCTAACGTAAGACTTAAACTGCATTTGGCGAAACGGCCTGCTGTAAATCCAGTGCGCTTGCTCAGTACGTGATTTTGTAAATCTTAAACTGTGTAAATCAGACGGCTGCAGCTGTCAGACGCCCCCACCGAATTGATCTTGAAAGAACGGTCGATTGAGCCATTCTAAATTTATTCAATTTACTCCGCTCAATATCCGAACTTCTGGGAACAAACGAGCCAAGCCAGCAGCCAAAATTGATAGGCAAAAGTTTGCGATGACTGCAATAAAAATAGCAACACTAAGAAAACCGAAATGCAGCTTGCGAGTTGCAAATATGCTGTGTGAATGAGCAAATACGATATAGTTGACAATAGCCGTTTTTACGACGGCCATCGGGTACACATTTGGTTCACGATTGATCATAATTGAGGCAGATTAGATCAAATTAGGTTCAAGTTGTTTCTTCGTAGCTTTTAGCTAAGGTAGCGCTAATTGATTTCGTGCCTTCTTTGTCATAAATTCCAAATATTAAATATATTTGCTGTAAAGGAGATGTGGTACAGATTTGGTTAGATATAAATGTTCATTCGCCAAAATGCCCGTCGTGGAAACGGCTAATAGGGTTGAGTGTGAAGTGCGAATGTGCAGGGCGACTGTCTGGAATTGAGGATGTGACATGTGAGAGTTGAAATGTGGAGAATGCAACGGTGTGGGAGTGGTAAGAGTGCAGAATGAGAGGTGAGATCGTATCAAAATGAGAATAAGTCAGTCCGTTTGCTTGTGTGGTGATTGCAAGTGTGAGTGAAAGGTGCAAATGTAGGTATGTGCGTGAACTGATAGAAAGAGGAGGATGCTTCTGTGATACGGTGAGGTAACTGTCTGAGAATTACGAGTGTACCGAAAGAATGGACGAATAATCTGACATACGCATTACAGTGAAACGGGCGACACATTTCCTACTTGACGTTTACAAAAGTGTCCTTAATTAATCAAAGTCTGTTCAAAGTTGAAACCTTGTTATGTCTTGAAATACCCACGAAATTAAGGATTAATTGCACAAAATATAGAGCTTCTACATTCGTTTCTAGAGAGATGATCTTTCTTATAATTGACGCTTAGTTTACCGCGATTACCGTGATTTACAAAGATTTTCTCCCCGCACGATTTAGATGTTGTTGGTTGTCAAAGATTATTACAATTCATAAAGGTCAGATCCCTCGGATGTTTGGGAAACATTAAAAATTAGATCTTCCCGCGGCCGGAGACAAACAAGTTTTGCTCCTGGCACATGCCTTAATTGAATTATACTATGTAAATTCGCGTCTGGAGAAACACGGTATAATCAAATGCTGTGTCGATCCTTCTAATCACAAAGAGCCGTGTCAGCCAGTTAACAGAGAACTGCGACCACAAAAAAAAAAAAACACCCGAGACAGACGGGGTAAGAAGTGGTGACCTCCACATTTGTACTTTCACTCGCCACTTTTTGTACGGCAAGCAGGCCGCTCTCGATGCTGTTTTTGCGGCTGGTGGGACGTTTTTTATCGAATCGGCCATGGCCTCAAGGTTTGCGTCTAGACAGCGAGGATCAAACAAAAGTCACTGTTACTGCCTTAACTGAGGCACCATCCTTCGGCCATATGGAGACACAGTCTGTACAAAACCCATTTAAAGTCAACCGGCTTTAATCGATACTTCCATTCCGTAACTAATGCTGTGTAAAGTCTATTGTCATGCGTGATGTCGGGTGATGTAAAGAATATGCATAGCTGAGGAAATCTCTTAACGTGGCCGATTCAAATATAGCACACCTAATAAAGTCGAGCAACGAAATCCAGTTTGATCCGGTTTGCCGATTGTCAGGCGGCGTGCTCGTCAAGGGGCCGCAGCATGCCGGTTAACAAAGATCCACGACAAAAAAAACCGCCCCAGACAGACGGGAAGTGATGCTGTGACCTTCCAGCCGCTGGTGACACGGCCAGCAGGCCGCCCTCAACGCTTTTTTTTGCGACCAGTAAAGTGTTTAGGCGGGTCGGCCTTGGCTTTAGGATACGCATCACGGCAGTGAGGATCAGATCCAACACGACTCAGCCTGACCCTGAATGTCACCTCCAGGGTCGGACTCTCACGGCAAGGACGAAACAGGCAAAAGGGGGGTAGACCAAAGTAAAACACAAACAGAAACGGTCACCACCCACGGTCGTCGTTCTCACCAGACGTGTGCGATTACCGAGATGAAGCAGGCGATTGATGAAGCTCACATTGGTATAAGCCGGCTAAATTACGTCATAACTAGAGAGCGAAACAGAAGCATGCGGAACAAAATGCGTAATTTGTAGCAGCTATTTGCGAAATGCATTTATAATTTGGAATAACATTTATATGAAATTTATTGAAGAAGTTCATAATTGTTGGAACGATTCTCATGAATTTGTCATGCTTGTAGAGGTCTAGTTAGAGTTACACAAGCTAACGGCGGATCAAATATCTTATTTCAAAAGTCATTAATTAACAATGAATGCTTCGTGATCTTCATTACGCTGAATTAGACTTTGTAATGCGGCGACCAATTACCTAAGTATTCGGCATAATTGACATGTGCGAGAGGAACCGATTGTGGGGGTGCTGGCGAGTCGTTATATACCTAACCTAATTATGCCACGTCATCATTTAACGTGGCGTCCAGCCCGTCATCTGTGTAGCTCGCTTACTGGAGGGCGCTGTCTCGACCCAAGGTCACCACAGCCACTGAGATGACAAACACAGTGGGCCCAGGGCGGTGCACTCTGAACCCGAGCACGTTTGTGGCTGGCATTGTTTGGATTATTGGGACGATTGCTATCCATTCACGTTTGTTTGCAAATAGGGATTACAAATTCCCCGAACTCAGCAATTGGAGTCTCGGCAGCACATTAACATAAAAGGAGACGTAAACTAATTATGATTCAAAGAAAGTGAATGTGAGAGAGAGAGAGAGAATGACAGAGAGAGAGAGAGAGAGAGAGAGAGAGAGAGAGAGAGAGAGAGAGAGAGAGAGAGAGAGAGAGAGAGAGAGAGAGAGAGAGAGAGAGAGAGAGAGAGAGGAAGAGAGAGAGAGAGAGAAGAGAGAGAGAGAGAGAGAGAGAGAGAGAGAGAGAGAGAGAGAGAGAGAGAGAGAGAGAGAGAGAGAGAGAGAGAGAGAGAGAGAGAGAGAGAGCATGAAAAGGAAAGAGAAACACAATTCTGATAATTGTAGCTACTGAATCGAATTTCCAGGGTCTGTCCGACTCGATGGTAAATAACTCAAACCAACTGTCCAGCGCCACTCGTGGTGACGTCGACCCCGCCCAAACATCCCTGACCGCGGCAGACGAGCCAAGGACAGGAGACAAAAGGTCCATGGATCAGGCGGGAATGTTCACAGTAGGCGAAATTTAAACGGCAGAAAAGGTCCCGGGAAGCATGCGGGTTCCAACGAAACGAGCTTACAGACTTTGGGAAATTAATGTTCAGCCTTAGTAACGACATTCGGGCTGAACTACGAAAACTACACATTATCTAAGGTTTACAGCGATTTACAAATTACGACGGCGCATTGCTGCGCTGGAGTATTCATGGGGAACAGGTTAAAACTGACGTTGGCAATTTATAAAACAGCTCAAAGGCTGCGAAGTTAACGTAACTTTCAGTATAGCTAAGAGTAATAAATTACCTGCATTCAAGGTGGTAGTTCATAAAAAGTAAGCTGCACAATTATCATGCGCCCTTATGTGGCCTCCTTTCCACACCGGCTCAACGCTTCCAAAGGTGTTTTTTGTAAGTGCCACTTTTGGCACAGTGAAACTTGCGATCTCAAAATTTGCCGTTTGCCAAAAAGGAAAACGAGTCGTCGACAAACAAATAACAACGTCTATTCTTGAGTACGGGAAACGCATGACGCAAAACAAATTACAGCTGCCTTCACATGTAGGAACCAAATCAACTTGACACAGACCCGCGTGGTAGGCGCAAATGTCGCACTCGCAGCACAAGTAACAAAGACCTCACTGAGACTGAAGTCGGTGGTGAGCTTGGATATACGACGCAGGTCTACTCCTCCTCACCGCATCCCTGGCAAGACAAAAGTACAATGAGTGAGGAGGTAAATAAGCAGCAGACACAAAAAAAAGCAGTAACATCCAGAATATGTGCCTCAACCTTGCACTGACCTGTTAGTAACGCAAAGCGGCACGGATGGCGTCGAGGATGCGCCCCGTTTGGTTCGTAAGGGCACCTTCCAGGGCGGCATCGTCCAGGGATGGAAGAAGTCGGCCCAGCGACGATTCCACACGGCCCATCGAGCTTGTCTGTCCACAAGACCAGGCCCATCAAACGAAAAGGGAACAGTTTGGGCCCCCCGGCAGACAATAAAATTCATTAATCCAATCATTTGGGATTCATCATCCTGACAGATGGACTCACCAATTCGTTCATGTCCTGACTGACTTGATATAGCAAGTGGTACAAGCCACTCACAACCACTCCTCCCATGATCACGAGAGACACGACGAAGCACGCGCGGCCCCAGTGCTCGAGCATGCTTTCTCACGACACGACGACGACGTATAGTACCAAACCAACGGCGACAAGCAACAGCCGTCAACTAGATGGCTATCCGACGGCAAACCGCGACACGCTGGACCGAGTCACGTGATATGTCACCCGACACCCCGGCGGCCGGCGCCCCGAGTGCTCGGTCCGTAAATCATCGGACGCGATCCGTCTCAGGTTCGAACGGTGGCGAATTTCCACAAACGTGACCGCGGGCGGCGCCCTGAGCCTGCCAGCGACATGCCATATTTCGCTGCTCAGTGCTCACACTAGTTATCGCGCTTTACCTCTGTCACTGACAATACGCGAAATTATACGCATTGGAAACACTTTCAACTCAACCTAAAGGCAAGTATGATGAATCAGGTGGGTAAATGGCTGTTTCCACGACGGGTCATCTAACAATCGAGCCTGATTTAGGCAAATTCGCACCTAAACTGCACCACATGTGCACCAAATACGTACCACCATCGTGAAAACAGCTAATAGCAAGTCTCTAAAACCAAGGCTATTACAACCGACGGGCAAGTATACGTTTTGGCTCAAAATAACAGACAAAGGTGGATAAAAGTTGAAACATTTCGGCACGGCCAAAACGTTTAAATTGGGATGGCTATTCGGGAGCTCAGATCGATCGCGCCAGCCGTGAAGGCATGTCATACATCATGTACGGCTGACTTATGCCAGAGTGCCACCCGACAACCCAGAGGCTGCCCATTGTTTGCATCACGGCTGGTGCTGATTGGGATTTACCTTTGCATCTATCCTACATTTGCCTCCAAGCTATAATCAGTTATGTATCAAAAGGGACGCACGGGTGCATCAAAGGCTAAAGCGAATGTGATATTGGCCTAAATTGATGTTTTAAAAAAGGAAACAATGCAGGGATATGTCATGACTAAAGGTCGATGCAGTAACGTGTGTAATGTGTATGTGTGTATGATTGTAAATGTGTGCGCCCGATGTTGGATGTCTGCTTACCATTGAATGTCAGTGTGCAGGCATGACGAGAATGATCGGCTCCTCTTCGGCGGTCAGCCGACTACACTGGAGCTATGCCTGGTAACGATATTTAGTGTAATGTGTACCGTGTGCAATGGGTGGCGTGAGAGGTGTTTGTGTGTGTATGTGTATGGCCGTGTATGTATAGGACCCTAGTGTGGCACCCCGCTTATATGAGTATTTTAGTGTGCCAACAGATGGCTACCCGCAGCACTACCGGGCCAGCAGCTGACGGGAAAGGAACGTCACACCTGGGGACAACGCGGGGCGCGGCTGGGCGTCTCGCGCCTTACTGGCCACCGCGGCGACACGGCGCCTGCGTGGGGCGGCGCCGGTCCCGATCCCTGGACCGGTTGCTGCGGCCTCGGGACTGGAGGGCAGCGCCGCCGCTGCGCGACGGCGTACTGGCGAACTGGCACTTACAGACGACGCGACGGCAGCTGAGGTCGCTGCACCTGCAGAGGACGCTGCGCCCGAGACTACGGTCGCAGGGCACATCGACTGCAGATCCGGTGCACAGCGGCCGGAATCAATCGCGACGCAGTGTCGCGACGCTCGCGATACGCGCTGCGATGACGGTGGCGCTGAAGTGAATGAGGCGCCGCGACGGGACGGGGCGCTGAAGGAGGCGCCGCTACTGAAAAATGGCGCTAAAGGCGCTGTTGAATGTCGTGCTGAAGCAGGCGCCGCGACTGCAGCTGAAGTGAGATGGTGCTAAAGGAGGCATGGCTGCTGCAGGTGATGCTAAAGGAGGTACCACTGCTACAGGCGGCGCTAGATGAAGAAAGCGCTGCTGCTACAGGTGACGCTGAGCGAGGTGCCATAGCTAAGGGTGGCGCTGAAGGAGGTGTCACGACTACAGATGGCGCCGGATGAGGCGCTGCGACGGCCCGCGGCGCTGAAGTGGAAACGCTGAAGGCGCTGTTGAATGTAGTGCTGAAGCAGGCGCCGAGACTGCAGCTGAAGTGAGGTGGTGCTAAAGGAGGTACACTCGGGGGCAGATTGATGTTCCACAACTCTTTATCCACCGGGTTCCTATGGCTCAGCATTGGCAGCAGCCGCCTGGTACCGGTAGACTGTGCCGCTTCACTTACTTGTCAAGCGGCACAGCCTACCCACCCGTATGACACCGGTCTGGGTCGGTGGCTGGAAGGTGATGTGGGCCGCCTGTGACGTCAGCGCAGCGGTGAGGGCCGAGCCCGGAGGCATGGCTCGGGTCGGCGCGGCGCGGCGCGGCGGCTGGCGAGGGCTGGGGAGTGAAGTGGGGTGGGAGCACGGACATCGCGCGGCTGAGCGAGTGTAGTTAACTTTCGTGTCTCAAGGCGCCAATTATTCTACCTAACAATTGTCCTAAAGCAGTTGTTAAAATGTCCTATCCCCAAGACAGCGCCTATCATAATACTTGCAATGCACATTACGACACACTTAAGCGTGGCAATGGGACAGCCGATAGAACTTATGTCACTCGTGCATCGAGGTGCGGAGCTATATTTTGTATAACATATTAGTATTAAGGCCTTGATTGAGCAGATTGGTGTCTATTGTTTCGCACGGCAATCGTCCAGAGACGTGGGAGCTGGGGGTTATGAGTAGTGCCGCAGCCAACGCCCCAATTTAAAGCGATTATTACTGTTGCTCTAATATGTGGTCGCAGCCCCCCAATAGCAAACCGTTCCAACTTGTAGCCAAAAACTCGTCCACTCAGGGGGTTCGAACCGGGCTTCTCCCACCGGCCAATTCACGACACGAGCGTTCATCCACTGAGCTACCGAGAATGGTCCTCGCCTGCACAAAACAAAATGACATTGACCCGCTGACCGCCAATGACAGTATTGTGACATTTGATCGCGTTTGACCGCGGTAGGTGGTCGCTGGTTTCGGCAGCTCAGTGGATACACGCTAGCGTCGTAGGGTGACCGGTTGGAGAAACCCGGTTCGAACCGTCCCAGGTGCGCGACTTATTTGTTCCTAGATGGAACGGTTTGCTATTGGTGGCTGCGACCACACATAAGAGGAACAGTAAGATTTGTTTAAACTTGGGACGCCGCGCTATCCAAAAACCCCAGTTCCCACGTCTCTGGACGATTGCTGTGCGAAATAATAGACACCAATGAGCTCAATCAAGACCTTAATACTTATCTGTTAAAAACAATGTAGCTCCGCAACTCGATGCACGTGTGATATAAATTCTATCGGCTGTCCCAATGCCACGTTTAAGTGTGTCGTAATGTGCATGGCAAGTATGATGATAGACGCTGTCTTGGGGATAGGACATTTTAACAACTGCTTTAGCACAATTGTTAGGTAGAATAATTGGCGCCTTGAGACGCGAAAGTTAACTACACTCGCTCAGCCGCGCGATGGTCCGTGCTCCCACCCCACCTCACTCCCCAGTCCTCGCCAGCCACCGCACCGCGCCGCGCCGACCCGAGCCATGCCTCCGGGCTCGGCCCTCACCGCTGCGCTGACGTCACAGGCGGCCCACATCGCCTTCCAGCCACCGACCCAGACCGGTGGCATACGGTGTGGGTAGGCTGTGCCGCTTGACAAGTTAGTGAAGCGGCACAGTCTACCGGTACCAGGCGGCTGCTGCCAATGCTGAGCCATAGGAACCCGGTGGATAAAGAGTTGTGGAACATCAATCTGCCCCCGAGTGTACCACTGCTACAGGCGGCGCTGAAGAAAGCGCTGCTGCTAAAGGTGGCGCTGAGCGAGGTGCCATAGCTAAGGGTGGCGCTGAAGGAGGTGTCACGACTACAGATGGCGCCGGATGAGGCGCTGCGACAGCCCGCGGCGCTGAAGTGGAAAAGGCGCGACGACTGAGAGGCTGCTGGTCAACTACGGCCGGTGGCTGCAGTGTGCGTCAGCTGAGGGCTGATGAGCGGACCAGCCCGGCCGGTTGCCGCTATGCACCGTACGCCGGCTGGACACCGCTGAACAGGAACAGCGAACACTCCAGAGCGCTGCTACGATCGACCTGTGCTGCTACGGGCGTCCGCGGCCGGCTGTGGCGGAGTGCCGGACACCACGGCCTGCTGCTGCTCACGACTGCGGCCCGCACGACGCCATTATCGCGCTGCCGTGTGCGATCTTCGTGGTAGTAAAAGCTACCGATCACCAACGGTCACCGCCTACCTGAGGGCCGAGCTCACGCGCCCAGCGGCAGTCCGTGCCCGCTGCCGAGTGCCGCGCCGGCGCACCAGCGGACGCTACCCGTGCCGCCAACCACGTGCAGTGATAGGCAGGGCCTGGGCCTACGCTGTCCCACGCCGCCTCAGGCAGCGGTCGGACGACAGCAGCCGTGCCAGCTCAGCGCGCTGCCGTGTGCCGCGCCGGTGCAAAATCGGACACGCCGCCAACCACGTGCAGTGATAGGCCGTGCCTGGGCCTACGCTGTCACACGCCGCCTCAGGCAGCGGTCGAACCCAGCAGACGTGCCAGCTCAGCGCGCTGCCGTGTGCCGCGTCGGCGGACGATCGCACGCTACTCGTGCCACCAAACGCGTGCAGTGATAGGCAGTGCCTGGGCCTCCGCTGTCCCACGCCGCCTCAGGCAGCGGTAGGACACAGCAGCCGTGCCCGCTCAGCGCACTGCCGTGTGCCGCGTCGGCGGACATTCGGCCGCTACTCGTGCGGCCAGCCCGCACGCAGTGAAGTGCAGTGCTCGGGACCTCGCTGTCCCACGCCACTTCAAACAGCGGTCGAACAACCGTTGCCAGGTGCCCCACGGAGGGGCGAACGATCGCACGCTGCCCGTGCCACGAGCCCGCGTGCTGCCCTGTGCCGCGCCGGTTCGGACGCTACTCGTGCCGCCAAACGCGTGCAGTGATATGCAGTGCCTGGACCTACGCTGTCCCACGCTGCCTCAGGCAGCGGTCGGACACAGCGCCGTGCCCGCTCAGCGCACTACCGCGCCGGCGGACATTCGGACACTACTCGTGCCGCCAGCCCGCGCGCAGTGAAGTGCAGTGCTCGGGACCTCGCTGTCCCACGCCACCACCAACAGCGGTCGCACAACCGTTGCCGTGTGCCCCACAGTGACCGTTCGCACGCTGCCCGTGCCACCGGCCCGCGTGCGGCCCTGTGCCGCGCCGACGAATGCGGACACTCAGGCGATCAGCCTGCGCGCCTACAGCTGCCGAGCCATGCGAGAACCATGCTACCGTGTCATGCTTCGCCCCGCCCCCGGAGTA